CTCCTCCTCCTCCTCCTCCTCCTCCTTCTCCCTTTGCTCCCTCTTCTCATCCTCTCCCTCTTCGGCACCCGACGCTGGGGTTAGTTGGCCAAACACAGCCCTGGAGGACCTCCAGGGCTCTCCGAAACCGCCCCACAGAAGCCCAAGGCAACCCCAGAAACAGGCCGATGACGACGGGGGGTGGTTTGTCCAGAAGAGAAGACGCTCGGTACCACACGCAACGCATCCAGCGCATCCTGCATCTCGGGCCAAGCACGCGACAGCCCCATCCAAACCCCGCACAAGCGTAGGTGGGCCCCTAGACAATCCGGGCAGTGTTCATGAGAGCCGGGAGAAACGTGATAACAAGAGGTGTCGAATTTGACGACTCAGAAGGGCTAGTCCACAAGGGAAAGACGAAAGCTGTCACGTGTGACCCATCCTGCGCATCCTACGCCTAGACGGCCGCGTAGAGCCTCCAGGTGCCCTCGAACTACCCCACATGAGCGTAGGTTAAGCCCAATTGAACCTAAGCAAGGCGCAAGAGAAGGGCGAACGCCCGCAAAGATATTTTAGCCAAACGGCTTCCGGAATATTTTGGCCAAGCGGCTCGGCGTCCGACGCCGCGCAGAGGTCGACAATATGCGGCGGCACGTTTGAAGCGATTTTAGCGTTCTCATTTGTTTGGCTTCCGACGGCCCAGAAAGGTCCAAAAGGCCCCCAATATGGCCCCCAAACAGCCCAAGAGGCGCCCAAAAAGGCCCCAAGACTGCCCAAGAGGGCCCCAAGATTGCCTAAGAGGCCTCCAAGAAGGTCCCTAGAGGGTTCCAAGACGGCCCAATCGACATTCAAGACTGCCCTGGACCGCCCCAAGAAGGCCCCAAGGCGGCCCAGAGAGGCCTCAAAGACGGCCTCCGCAGGCGTCAGACGACAGAAGACGGCCCAAGAGGCCCCGAGAAGCTCCCAAGAGGCCCCCAAGAGGCCCTCAGGAGGCCCCCGAGAGGCCTACCTCCTCCTCCTCCTCCTCCTCCTCCTCCTCCTCCTCCTCCTCCTCCTCCACCTTTTGCTCCTGCGTCTAATCCTCTCCCTCTTCCTCCCCCAAGTGTTCCCCAGGGGTTTCCACAACGGCTGTGGGAACACATAGCCCAATAACTTGGACAAACTTTGGCCCAACGTTTGGCCACATAAACGTTTCCAATAAGGCAAGGGGGCGGTGGTGATTCGCATTAGGCGTCTTCAATAGAGACAAGAGGTGTCACAAGAGCTGCGCTGGCACGGTGGCGGGGCATGCCGCAGACAGCTGAATATAAAAACGGTGTTCGTACCTTCTCTGATATCACGAGAGTCCTGAGCCAAATCCAGTAGGTGGGCCTCAGGGGCGCACTTGGGCTGTTTTGGGGCGTCTTCAATAGAGACAAGAGGTGTCACAAGAGCTGCGCTGGCACGGTGGCGGGGCATGCCGCAGACAGCTGAATATGAAAAAGGTGTTCGTACCTTCTCTGATATCACGAGAGTCCTGAGCCAAATCCAGTAGGTGGGCCTCAGGAGCGCACTTGGGCTGTTTTGGGCGCGTCTTGGGCCGCCTTGGGGCTCTCTTGGGCCGTCTTGGGGCCCTCTGGGGCGCCTCTCCGGCTGTCTTGGGGTAGTATTGGGGGCTTTCGATGTCGTCAAGAAGTGTACGACAGCGAAAACAATTGATATGGTAAAAATATACGCTTCACGAAGGGAATGGGGCTATTTTTGCAATTTGGAGATCTCTTCGAACGCGTCTTGGAAGCCTTTTGGGGCGTCTTGGGGGCTTCTGAAGCCGTCTGGAGGCAATGTTGGGCGTCTTGGGTGACCTTTGGGCGTATTAAATCCTTTCTGGTAGCTTTTTGTAAGCCTCAGGGGCGCACTTGGGTTGTTTTAGGCGCCTCATCGGCCGTCTTGGGGCTCTCTTGGGCTGTCTTGGGGCCCTCTGGGGCGCCACTTAGGTTGTCTTGGGGCGGTCTTGGGAGCCTCTGATGTGGTCAAGAACTATACGACAGCGAAAACAATTGAGGTAGTACAAATATACGTTTTGCGAAGGGAATGGGGCTATTTTGCCCTTTTGGAGATCTCTTCGGGCGCGTCTTGGAGGCCTTTTGGGGCGTCTTGGCGGCTTCTGAAGCCGTCTGGGGCGATGTTGGGCGTCTTGGTGCGACCATTGGGCGTCTCGGGTCGCGTTTGGAACGTCCCGAGTCCTTTCTGGTAGCCTTTTGTGGGCCTCAGGGCCGCACTTGGGCTGTTCTGGGCGCCTCTTGGGCCGTCTTGAGGCTCTCTTGGGCTGTCTTGGGGCCCTCTGGGGCGCCTCTTGGGCTGGTTTGGGGCTGTCTTGGGGGCCTCCGGCGTCGTCATGAACTGTACGGCAGCGAAAACAATTGATGTAGTAAAAATATACGTTTTTCGAAGGGAACGGGACTATTTTTGCCTTTTGGAGATCTCTTCGGGCGCGGCTTGGACGCCTTTTGGGGCGACTTGGGGGCTTCTGAAGCCGTCCGGAGGCAATGCTGGGCGTCTTAGAGCGACCTTTGGGTGTCTCGGGTCTCTCTTGGAGCGTCTTGGGGCTCTCCTGGCGCTTTCTAATGGCATTCTGTGGGCCTCCGGCGCCTCCAAAGCCCCCGGTCCCCACATTTGTGGTCGTGGTCCCGGCCCCGGGCCCCCGGACCAGGTGCGCCGTTATGTGTAGACACCCAGAAGATCAGGGACTCGATGGCATCCGGGTGGGCCCAACGAGCGAGACCACCCCATCCGGCTCGCCCCCAGAAGATCTCGGTGCAGCCCGTCGTTGTCAGTATCGAGACCACGGTGAACCATGCAGAAATATGGCATCGCACCGCTCCATCGCCACATGCTCGAGCACGGGCGCCAATTTCTGACCCAGCACCTTCGTGTCGACGCGGGTGCTGGAGTGTCTGCCGCTCGCTCCTGGTGCTGCATCTGCCACTGCCCGCGGTAGCTCCTGCCAGCGGCGGCTTCAGCCCGTCCTTGCGAATGTCGCGCGGAACGCTGTCTCGGGCAGCTCGCGGCGAGGCCGTGCGAGGCGGCGGCGCGACTGCAGCGGCCGCCTGGCCGCAGCGATCGCCCTCGACGCGGCGACTGCTCGCAGCGCGACCGTGGCCCCACTCGGGCACTCGGCTGAGCCCAGCACTAACCTGCTCGGAGCTGGGCCAGGCAAAGGGCTTCGGATGGGCGCCGCCCAACCACCGCGCGGCAGCGCTGCAGCAAGAACCTGCTGCCACAGCTTGCTGGCCAGTCGAGACGAGGCACAGAGCCACGCGCCAGCCAGCTTTCCATGTCATATTCGCTATCGCCGGCTGCCGCGGCTGCTGCTATGCTAGGCTATACTGAAGCAAAGAGAGAACTGCCAAGATCTCCGCGCCTCCATTCAAATCCTGTGATCATCGTCCTTGCCGCCTTCGGGATTCTCTTCGCCCGACATTGCCGTGGATCGTTCGCTCACCCAGGGTAGGAACCTCCCGTCTGTGTTCCACTGGCAAGGAGGTTCTCCGATCTTGACCTACAATGATGGCAATCAACTTGTTTCTCTCTCTCTCTCTCTCTTTCTCTCTGTTTCTCTGCACTTCCCGCTCGAAATAGTGCAAAGCAAAACGTATACGATACACCTAAAAACACGATACGAGGTGGGTTTCCACAGGCTCAGTCGGGAGCGGCAACGGTTACGTGGACGGTGCCGAAGAAGAAGAGGAGACCACATATGGGAGCCGACCACTTAGCATCCGAACCATATATATATATATATATATGAAGGGGCCCCAGGACACACAAATAAATACACACAAGTAAACATATCCCCCTATATTTTCATATATTTTCTGGGTATTTGTCTTCCCCCCCACTGCCCATATTTTCCCATATGTTCTGGGAAACCGACGATTAATTGTGTCTGTGTGTTTTTCCCCCCCTCCCTGAATATAAGCCATCAGAGATGTAAGCAATACGGTGAGGAATGAGGGGCGGAAGATCACCATGATCAGTCCTTTCCCTCTGCCAGATCGGACGCGTACGGTATGCATCAAACTGTAGGGTGAGCGCACCTGGAGCCAAACAGCCGAAGAGGGCGCGTGGAGTCCCCGCGGACGCCTCCCTTTAAAGATCCTGGGTTCTATCCTGGCCAATGTTTCATCCTGGATCGACTCCTGGCGGCTACTGGGACCGACACCAGTCCCCTGGATGCCGAATACTGGCAAAAGACCAAACCTCGACGGCGACGGCGAGGAAGGCGAGGACGATGACATCCGAGAGCCCCCGAGAACCTCCAAGAACGTCCCCAACCCCCCAAATACTTCAGAGAGGGCCGAACCTAATCGGTGTCTTTCGTCTTCGTTTTGTCTTAGTTTTCCCTCGTCCTGTCTTCAATTCCACCTCTACCGCAGAACGAAGTCGAAACGAAAACGGCCCACGAAATCGCCAAAAACACCGTTGAGGTCCAGCCCTGCCTTCAGACAGACACTCGAAAACCGAGCGAGAAGCCGGCACCGACGGCGGCGGCGACGACGGACCCCCAGAAGACTCCTCCCCTCCCTGACCTGACCGGGGGGGGGGGGCGGCCCCTGGCCCCCGGAGCATGCTCCACTGCCCCGGGGCCCGACGAGCGACCCCCGAGAGGCCCGACATCGGAGAAGCAACCCGATCGATCGATCGGCCACGGCGGCGGCGGCGGCGGCTGCGACGGCGGCAACGCCCGCAACGGCGACGGCGGCGGAGGCGGCGGCAGCGGCGGCGGCGGCGGCGACGACGACGGCGGCGGCGACGAGGGCGGCGACGACGGCGACGCCGACCGCCGCCGTCGCCGACGCCGACGACGCCGCTGACGCTGGCGACGACGGCGCGACGGAAGCCCGTCTGCGGATGAGAGATGATAGAGAAAGCTTTCGAGGGGGAGGTGTTCGTGGACGGCAGCGCTTTCAAGGAAGGGACTCATGAGTGGCCCCGTGTGGGCTGGGCAGTGATCAAAATGGACAGCGATGACAATCTGAGTCCTGCGCCGCCTTGCTGCCGCCCGCCCCCAGCAGGTCGAGCACGCGCATGTTCTTCCTGCCGCCAAGAACGCGCGCCAGGCCCAAGCCCGCCGCAAAAAGGCATGCCGCACGCCGCGCGCCGACCTCAGTGCGAGGCCCGTGCTCAGCACAGTCGAGCACGCCCTGACGGCTGGACCCAGCTGCCACGGCGAAGCGAGCGCTGGGTAGTCGAAGCCAATCTGGCGCCAATCTGGCAGGCCCAATCTGGCAAACGGGGGCAATCTGGCGAGGGAGCCAGCGCGAATCCAGTCTGGCGAATAACCCAAATTATCCAGCTTGGCCGGGCCAGATTGGCCCTTGGGGCCCAATCCAATCTGACAGTCTGGCCTTCGACTACCCAGCCAGCTGCCACGGCGAAGCGAGCGGAGCAACCATCGCCAAACACGGGCCGCCATCTGCGCCAAAAAACGAGGGGGCAGAGGCCTGAGGAACAGAGGGGGGCGGAACGAGAGCGAGTCTGCTGCCGAGCCGCCCTGTGAATAGCACGGCCTTGGTTGACAGAACAACAGTGCAGCGGACTGCCACGAGGACCGTACGCACGTGTTCTCTCCCCTGGTGTCTATGACGCGATCGGTTGCCAAGCATATGGGGTTCCCCGGATACACCAAACCCTCCCGCGGAAACCATCCATGATGAGGCCCTGACTAGAAACGCTCAATTATCACAATCCGTATGCACCAAAATCCCTGCGATGTTTCCCTCTACTCCGAGGTTCTGTCAGATCACGGAAGATGCGCTTCTGGGTTTGGAGCGCCACTTCTAGAAAGGAAGGCCGGACAAATTCGGTCACAGGTTCGCCGCCGCCTCCATTAGATAGACGCAGTCATACAGTGGAGGCCAGTCCACAAGAAACCTTCCTTCCACAAGAAACCCAACCTTGAGACCCCAGAACGTCCATCGATGTTTGATCTGGGAACGTCACGCTTTCCAGAGCAAAACCATAGAACTCCAAGAAACCCAGGGCACCCTGGAGGAAAGCAAGCTGTTTCTTGGCGTGGGTCTCCACTGTATGATGCGTGGTGATTCTGACTTTAGCGCGGGCGTTGAAGCATCGCCCATCCCTTTGGGAACACTCCGCAGCCTCGGTGCCTTGCTTCTCCCCCCCCGCAGCCTGGTGTAGATCATGCGGGTTTCCGATTACAGGGACCGCGGGGGGGGGGGGGCAAACCCAAGCGCGCAAAGCGCTACTACCGCATTGCGCTCGCCGATCGAGGGGCCCACAACTGGCCCGCACCAAAGGTCAGTCCGGTGGAGGGTCTCTCTTGCGTGTGGTCGGGCCGCTGCCGCCGCCGTCCGGGCGCCGGGCCTGGCTTGCATCTCCGCCCGGTTCTCTGGCGCCGCCGATGAGCGGCCCCAGGTGGCCGCCTCCGCCGCCTCGCTCGGGTCGAGCTGCTGCGCGCCGCCGGCGGCCGCTGCCGTCGCCGCCGCTGCGGGCCAGCGAGGTTCGAGGATCGAGGCTCGAGAGGACGAGGTCCGAGGATCGAGGATCGAGATGCGAGGATGGTTCTGGAGGTTCTCGTCGCCACGGCTGGACGCGTCTCGAAAAACTGCAGGTGCCGCCAGGACTCGATCCAGGGTGAAACATTGGCCAGGATGGACCCCAGGAGGGATCTGGGACCTATGTTGAGCGGATTTCGGCCGTCGACGTCATTGTCGTCGTCGTCGTCGCCGCCGCTGTTGTCGCCTTCGCCGCCGTGGCCGCCGTCGTCGACGCCGCTGCCGCCGTCGCCGTTGACGTCTCTGTCGTCGCCGCCATCGCCGACGCCGCCGCCGTCTTCCATGTCTTCGCCATCCCCACTGTCGACGGCGGCAAAGATGATTTGTTGGCAATCGGCTGAGCCCATGACCCTCCAAGGTCCAACCTCAGAAAAGCGACGTAAACCGTAAACCGACATCCCTCCAACACGGGAAAATGCAACGTCCAGGGGTCCTCCCAAATGTCTGAGCTAATGCCCCAGACATTCTGAGGGGCGTCATCCGCCACCGTTCCTGCACGACGTGGGCGTGTGAGAAGTGCCTGTGAGCTATCTGCGCTTCTGCCGAGAATTCTGAGGGCCCACTCGGACTCATGCTCAAATCCCCAGCTTCCGTCGCCTTTGGCACGATGGCACGAGTTGCCGCAGGCAGCTGCTTCTAAGATTCACAATTCAGTGGCAACACCCTTCAAAGAGAGCCAGGGGCGTGATGCCTTCTTACCCTGCTGGCGCTAATGACCGTGGCAGACAACCCTCCACAGGAGATTGAAAGAGGGTGGTGAGGGCGGGAGAAGAAAGGGGAGGCCTCAAACCCTCAGCAACCAATGTGTGTAATCAACCGGTACACAATTGTCATCCAACCTTCTTTCTCCTCTCTCTCTCCCTCCTCCTCTTCCCCCTCCTCATCCTCCTCCTCCTCCTCCTGCTCCTGCTCCCCCTCCTCCTCATGCATCCTCAGACGTGTCGGTCGGGCGGACCAGACGTTTCGCCTGAGATTTCCTCACCAAACGAGACCCTGAAGCTTGAAAACTACAACAGATTCACGCGTGGACGGCGGGGGCTTGCAAAAACTGGTTCTCGCCAATGTTGCGTATATGCGCCCTAGACGTCTGCAGCAGTTTCGAATACGGAGGGCTGGTCATTTTCAAGATGTGGATCTCGCCTGAGCGCCTCGCACAATCGTCTGACAAGTTTGCCGCAGTTCAACGGAAAGCGGGCGCGATTCAAGATGCGGTTCTCGCCTCAGCGCCGCGCATATTCGTTTGAAAGTGTGCAACAGTTGTCCGTTTCAACATGTAGCTCGTGCCTTAGCGCTGGGCACATTCGTCTTCAACGTGTGCAACAATTTCACGGATGGAGGGCTGGTGATTACAGAATCTGCCTCTCGCCCTCGCGCTGCGCACATGAGTCGTAAAGTTTGCAACCGTTTAACGCAAGGAGGGCTGGTGCTTTGTAAAATGTAGCTCTCGCCTTAGCGCCGGCTTCGTTCATTTTTAAAAGTTTGCAGCAGCTTCACGGATGGAGGACTGGTGATTCCAATAGTTGCGCCTCTCGCCTTAGCACCGCGCCCTTTCGTCGTGTAAAAGTTCGCAGCAGCTTCAAGGATAGAGGGCGGCTCCTTTGCAAAATGTTGCTCTCGCATTGTGCCGCGCACAAGTTCGCTTCAACATTTGACAACAGTTTCAAGGGTCCGCCTGGATGAAGTCCCAGGAATGGTTTCCTCCAACGATTTGAGATTGTCACGCCAGAAATATTGACTCGCGGCGCTGGAGCCCCAGGATATGTCGTTCGAGCACGATCTCCGGTTGTCATGTAACAACAGTCGCGTTGAAACGCGGCGAAAAAGTCCCGATAATGGTGTTTTGGCACGATTGAGGGTTCTCAAACGGTTGTCTTTCAAAGGGGCGCCTCCCACAATCAAAACTCAGCTTCTTGTAGGGTCCTATGAAGATGGAACGTGGAGGGAAGCTTCATTGCACCATCGATGATGCGTCTTGGGTTTACACTGGCCCTCGTCCATCTCACCCTTCTCCTCTCCCATTCCTCCCCACCATTATCTCCTCCTCTTCCTCCTCCTTCTCCTGTTCCTTCTCCCTTCCCCATACACCCCCTCATCCACCTCCTCATCCCTCGTCGCCCTCCGCACACTCCTCCCCCACCTCCTGCTCCTCCTCCTCCGCCTCATCATCATCATCATCATCATCATCAGTACTACCATCATCATCACCACCATCATCATCAGCAACAGCAGCAGCCGCAGCAGCAGCAGCAGCATCATCATCATCATCATCATCATCATCATCATCAGCATCATCATCATCAGCATCAGCATCGTCATCATCATCAGCATCATCAGCATCGTCATTATCATCAGCCTCAGCATCATCATTATCATCATCATCATCATCATCATCATCATCATCATCAGCAGCAGCATAATCGTCATCATCAGCAGCATCAGCAGCATCAGCAGCATTACCACCAGCAGCATTACCATCAGCGTCTTCAAACATGGGCAAACAAAGCATCAGCATCATCATCACCCTCATCGGCATCACCATCATCACAATCAGCATCAGCATCAGAATCATCAGCAACAATTATCATCAGCATCATCGTAATCACCATCATCCTAATCACCAGCATCATCAGTATCATCAGCAACAGCATCATCAGCATCAGCATCAAGATCAGCATCAGCAGCATCATCATCAGTATCAGCATCATACTCAGCATCATTAGCATCATCATAAGCAGCAGCATCATGATCATCAGTATCAGCATCAGTATCAACATCTTCAACATGAACATCATCAGCATAATCAGCATCACCAGCATAAGCATCATCATCAGCATCAGCATAATCATCAGCATCATTAGTATCGTCAGCAGCATCATCATCATCAGCATCAGCATCATCATCACCCTGCAACTCCTCCTCCCCCTCATTCTCCTCACCAGAATCCCTCCCCCGTTTCTCCCTCCCCACGTCCTCCTCCCCTTCTCCCCTTCAGCAAGGCATGAGGATGGAAACCATAATAGATGGCTGCCGTTCCTGGGGAGGGTGTGCCCTGGGGGGAGGCTACAGCACCGTTCGGCGACGTATGCTGTACTGAACCTCGCAGGGTTGGCCGTTTCCAAATCCGTTCCTCGGTGCGGATCGTAAGCGCGCCTCATCTCGTAGTCATCAAAGTCGTGGTCGTGGTGCACGCTGATCTGCCCAGGACCTGAGTCCTCATGCAGCGACCAGCCACAAACCCCTCCCCTCATCGTCCTTTTCGTTCCCGTTCCACCCCCCTTCCTTTCCGCCCTCCTCCTCCTCCTCCTCCTCCTCCTCCTCCTCCTCCCCTCCCCACGTGGTATGGGGAGGTATGGGGCTGGGGAGGGACCATCCTCTGGGAGGACAGCAAGTAATTATGGATACCGCTACTCCCTGGACCTCTCCTGAAGAGTGTCCTGACCAGGAATTCGAAACGAATACAGCGGTGGCGACGAGGGCCGCCCCAGAGGCCCAAAGAGGCGTAAACGAGGGAATGGTAGCAATGTCAATACTTTTCCCTATGATCCCCCTCCCCCCCCCGCGAGAGATCCGCTCAAGGGCCTCCGTCGCGCTTCCTCCAATGGCGTCGGTCGCCCCCGCGTCGGCGCAGAACTCGACCATCTGCAGCCGCGGCACCACCTGCGACCGCGCGGCGGGGTCCCCTGTCTCGACGACTACGATCTGTGGAGAAGAGTCGGCAGTTTCCTGAAATCACCTCTGACGACTTCACCATTAATCACACCAGGCTCTCACGACGAACAGATACGGGGCTATCATTTCTCAAGCGGGGAATCGCGGAAATGAAACGAAGCATGTGGTCTTCCGCTCCTCATGCTTCTCCCCCGCGACTCCCTACGCGCCCCTCCCCCTCCCCACCCCCTCCCAACCCCCCCGCGCTCAAAAGGACTCGCACTTCACCACCAACGAGGGCCACGATGGCGCGGCACCGAGGCAATTAGCGCAGCAAGAGCAATGGGCCCAGCGGCAAACGCCGACGACGACGACACCCACGCCGGCGAGAGCCGCTGCCGGCGACGGACAACCACGAGCCCCTGCCGACGCCGACACACAAGGACCGAACTACGACTGGCCACGACGCCGCATACGGCGGCGGCCACTTGGACCACAACCAGGGACCCGCCGCCCGACCAACGACGACAGAAGACAGACCACCGACGACGGACGACGTTGACGGACGGAAAGATTGACCGACCAACGGCGCCACCTGTGGCAGCAGCAGTCACCCGGGATATATTTTAGAGTTGAGCCAAAAATGAATCCGACTGCACACCAATGAGCTAAACCTACTCTGACGGAAATGGCACCCTTCCACATGCCCAGGCATATCTCCTAAATGTTGAACCGCCCCCGAACAGGACAACTTCAAGAACAATTCATAGAACAAGACGGAAAGGCGAAACCCCGCCTTGTCCAGGCCTGGCTATTTTTCCGTCATCCCTGAAGTTGACTGGCAACGAAACAAACAGCACGACAGTCAACACTAGCAGCGTCAGCACGAGAAACTGCAGGGATGTGATTGAAATCAATTAGAAAAGACATCCGAACGAGAGTGAGGTGGAGAGGGAGGAAGAGAGGGACCTGACCGACCACCACCACCGCCACCATCGGAACTCTGGGTCACGAACTCCTGCCAGGAGATCAGGACATGGTCACTATCCAACAGTTGTTTTATTCTGGAGGCCGCGGGGAACGATTCTTAAGGTTGGGCTCGTCTTTCCTCGTGGCCACCTGTAGACCTTCGTCTACCCATATCAATCGACCACTGGTCATCAACTCTAACAGTGCAGAGCTGCACTTTGTGATGTCGTCCTCTGTGAGTGCACCAACGGGCATTCGGCCGCGAGTGATCCAACGAATCTGGCCACGAGTCTTCTCGAGCGCCTCGCAAGTGAAGGCCAAGTCAATGGCTGTCCTCCTATCTTCACTCAGCACTGATGTTTCCCTGCCGCGTAGTACCATATATAGACCTTGGCATCTACTAGATGTACCTGTATTCTCCAGAGCAAAGGGAACAACTTCACCTCAGCGCGGAAACCAATGAACCTGAACGTCGATGGCCGTCACGCACCGTCACATCACGACACGCCCCATCTCGGCATAATATCTGGAGGTGGCTTGTTGCCACTGCTGCTGATGCAGCGTGAGTCTCGCTGGCAAGAGTCGACGGCGCCTTCCTCATGAGTTTCGAACTCCTCCATCCTAGAGTGGACATCTTGACAGACTGATCATCTAGATCGCTGGAGTCGCTTCCCAGAACCACCCAGGCGCCCTGCGCGGGGTCGCCTGGCAGGCCGGCGTCCCCCAGCATGTATCCAAGGGCCCCGACTCGCCCCGCGTCCGACAACGACGCGAACGACGTCTTCTCAGGATGGAGCTCCCGCGCGATTAACGCTCGAGAGGCTGGTGAACGGAGGTGCTTACTTGCGAGGGGAGATGGGAGGCACATAGACATACTAATGCTATATGTCTTCCTTGGAAGCCCGAGCATATAGTATACCCATCTTGTAGCAGATCGGTTCCCGAGCGGTGTGGCCAGAAAGCGCCCGCCACGACGTATATACTATAAGATTTCTCGGTGCTCGCGTCGCCTCTGGGGGGGCGACGCACATATAGCATAAGTATGTTGGAGAGACGCCGAGAAGACGTCACCGGTCGCCAGGCTTCGCAAGCGGCGGGCAGGGGCGCTGGCAGCTCCAGCGGCCCCCTGCCCGGCCTCTCCGCCCGACCCAGCTGTAAACTTGTAGACCAGCGACCGCCGTGCCTTGACCTCTCGAGGCTCCAGCGGCAAATCATTTTGTGGAAGTCGCCTCCAAGCAACCGACAACTTGCCGTCACTCGGACGTCCGTTCCCCGTGCATGTTTCGATTTCGTGCGTGCTCTCTCTGCCAGATGGTCGAGGATGCTCCTCGAATGTCCTCGCCGAGAAGGAAAATGCACACGTCCGAGCGATGCCAAGACAATGGCCTGATCTCCCCCAGGATTCGGGGATGGACAGACCCCCTTTAGTAAAACGTGGTTTAGTGAAAACGACCTCGGGCCCAAACCTGGCGGGCGCAAGCCTGGAAAATGACGGCCGCGGCGCCCTCTCGAGAACCGAAAACGGACTCACTAATCGACGTGTCAGGGTAGGAGGTCTGTCCAGCCCCGAATTTTCCCACGTCGACCGCGGACCTCCTGGGGCCGAACGCGGCGAGTCGCCCAGCGAGAACCACGGGCCCCTCGAGGCAGCCCACGCACCTGCCGAAGCGAAAGCGCGATTCCAGAAGGCATCTCAACCAAGCCCGAGATTTCTGGAGCGAAGAAAGCAATGAAGAATCGCCAACCTCGAAGAGCATCAGGTTCAAAACCTCGCCCTGGGCACCGTGGCACATCCACCACGGACCAGGAAAAACCATGCCCCTCAATCAACGACACCACGGACTTCCTCCACGACATCGGGGCGTCGTCCAGGCCGCAACCACTGACTCGCAAGCGGATCAGGGCGCTGTCAAAGAGGTTGATCCCGTAGCACGGCTCGACGTACATCCCACCATGATTCCGGAACCTGGGGGTGCTCCGGCAGTATGCTGTCTGCACGTCCGCTATGTCGGCCAACAGGCCGAGGTCCATCGAGATCTGCAGGAAGCGTGGGCGCGCGCACCATCAAGGACCCTGAGTGTGGATCTCTGTGACCGTGCACGCGCCAACGGGATTCGGCGTCGGGTTCCTCAAACGCCCCCTTCTACCCTCTACAGGCTTCCACCGCCTGCACATCCCACCGCCTGGTGCCCCCGCGCGAACCCAACATTTCCTCGAGACAGAAACGCGACAGCGCCTGTGCCCATCATGGCTTGCCACTCTTTGTCGCCAGCCGCCTGGGCACTAAATCGTTCGGATGGGGAGAAGTTCGCAAGGGAGACCTCAACTCCTCGGATCGCGGCGAACTGGCCGTCGCTCTGCAGCGCGGCTCCGCTGGCCCGGCCCGGGCACTATCGCCGACGCCGCCGAGGGGGTGAAAAGGAAATCCTCAACGCCCTCCGGCATCGACCCCGAACCGAAGTCGGCCCCTCGCCTGCCCCAGGCCTTTATGGAGAGTGGCTTCTCCTTGCCGACCGCTGCTCGATGGCCCTCGCTCTCGCCGACACGGCAGCGGGGCTCGCTGCCATGGGCTGCCCGCTGGGGGGCGATCGTTTTTGGGGGGCGGGGAGGAATGGGGCGGGAGAGGAGTGAGAGGTCACGGGAGGAGGAAGACCGGGGCAAATCTACTCTGGCACGCTCGACCACGGGAGGGCACGAGCTGGTTCGACCCCCTGACAACTCCTGATCTCGAACCGTTCTGGTGCACAGTAGGGGTGCGTTGCTCGGCCGCGCGAGCCCCATTTTTGCTCCTGGGATCTGGGACTCAAGAGGTCGACCTCGAACTTCCCGGGCCCGGCCAGAACCCTCCACGGACGGGGTGGGGGGGGGCATATCATGGGGGGGGTCGTCCTGGCTTCCTGGGAATCTGCTCTCATGTTCTGGCGCCGGCTCAACGTCGCTGACCGGCGCTCGACGGATTGCGGGCCATCTCGGATCCGACCCGCCCTCGGACCCGGGGCCCATGCCCCGCGGAAGTCGAGGGAGGAAACACAGCGGCGGGAAAACGCGAGGAAGAAGAAGAAAAAGAAGAAGCTCTGGGCAGAGGCCCAGTCACAGACGGAGACGCCCGCGACTCTCGCTGCATCTCGCCGCGAGGGTCGGCCATTCGAGACTGGGGGGGCCCGGGGAGCTGAGTCAAGATCCTGACGGGCCGCTTCACCCCGGGCACACTCGGGAGAAGGGCCCTCCCGCCGCGCGCCCACGGCCACAACTCCACGAGAGCCAGACTGTTTGAGAAGCTCTCGCCACTGCGGGGTACTCGCCAACTGTAGGCCGCACTCCTCGTGAGCGCTGGCTAGACGGACCTGCTCTGCCGAGCATGTCCAGAGTCGCCCCTCAAGACGGCGACCCAAACAGCCCCCCCCCACCGGCCAGGACCACGATGCCAAGACACGCCCATGCACCCCGTCTTCCACCGGAGATGGTCCGCTCTAGACGAGGTCCTCGACATGCGCCTCCACGCGCACACCCATTGGCAAGTCGTGAGCGCACCAGGAGCAAGGGTCTTGGCTCGCGTGGCGCGGCGAATCTCCCCGCGAAGCGTGGCCTCCATGGCCCGTCTCTGGGCTGCGCCCCTTGCCGCCATACGCCCAGACGAATTCGGCGCCCGCCGCGCCTCGTCCCCCCGGAACCCGGCCGCATCTTGCCACCCCGGAAGACCGTGGGACTCGCCAGAAAGGAAATCGCGAGGGAGGCGAGGATTCTCCCCGAACACGAGCTGCAAGGGGGAGAGCCCGCCTCCATGACACCACCTGTTCTTGCGCGCAAGAAGTGCATGCGCGAAAGCGTCCACTTCCTCAAGGTTGGCCGGCGCACTCCTCATGATTCCGGCTCCAGCTCCACGCGATCCTTGATCAGAACTCCGCGCCGCTGCCGCGCGTAGCCCGCGTCACAGACGCGACGCAGCGCCACCCGCTGCTCCGCTCCCCAGGCAAAGCTGGCCCCGAACTCGGAGCCTCCGTCTAAATAGAAACAAGCGGGGGGGCCCTAGGGGCCTGATC